GTGTGATGCCATCATGTCAATATGGACCAAAATCTCTGAGGAAAGCTTCCAGCACCTTGTTGAATCTATGCCACGAAGAACTGAGGCAGTTCTGAAGGCAAAAGGGGGTCCAACCCGTTACTAGCGTGGTGTACCTAATAAAGTGGCCGGTGAGTGTATGTTTATCAAATAAAAACTAATGTTACAACTAATCAGGGATCCCTTTAAAAAGAACTTTAATTGGTGAAAACAGTTGAGCAGAAAAAATAATTTCAACTAACAGAACAGATGAAGCAAATACCTGCAGAAATGTGAAACTGCCAGGAGACATTAAGGTTTAGAAAATAGTGGTAATCTTTCATATTTAAAAGAACTAGGAGAGTCAGATTAAATATGTTTATAGGAAATACACACACTCTACAGAGTAAATGTAGCTAATCTTAAAAATGTTTATTATACAGCAAGTTTAATGCTTGCACATCCTGTTAGTTTGACAAATCTCCTTACTGTAGAAACTTCAGTTCATTTTTAGGGCTGGATGAATATTCCACACCTTGCTGACTTTCTGGCCTGTTGGAAATGCTTTCAGCTTCTTTCAGCTTAACGTGCAGCATCTCTCTTTGTAGTTGATCAGGTGAGGAAAGAGAGGCAGTAATCTTTATTGACAAGAGCCAAAGTCAAATCTAATCCCCTGTGGGGGGTTTTTGGTGTCAGCTCTGTTTGGGCAATAGAACGGGATTCATGACGGTGTTTGTTTTAATCATAAAATGGTAGCGTGCTTTGCTGAAATTGGGGCCAAAAAGTGCATTTATTATTATTCTTTTTTACATTTGAGCTATCCACCAACCCTTTCAGAAAATGTACTTTTAGAATGAAATATTAAAGCTTCAAATTGGATTTGAAATTTGAGGCAGCTGGTTTGTAAAAATTGGAAGCAAGACTAACATTTTTCATATCTTACTAAAGATTCTATTCTCCTTTCTGTTCTGGTCAACAGAATTGTTAGATGTGTTGATAAAAACCAATGCTCTCTCTTCATCAATGTTGCTTCATTACTAAAAGAAAAAAATCTGATTTCTTCCTTTTGCCAGCAAATAATTTGATTTGTTATGTCAAGATGATTATTTATGCAAACCAAACAACAAAAAAGTTTTGTCAACATAAAAAGGGTTACTTCTACATTTCTACTTCCAAATGAATCTTGATCTCATACAACCGCACACACC